ACAAACCATTTCTGTATGGACCTCGCTTTGTGCACGGGGGTATTGTCATGCTGAAACAGGAACTTCCACAAACTGTTGCCACAAATTTGGAAGCACAGAATCGTCTAGAATGTCATTGTATGCTGTAGCGCTAAGATTTCCCTTCACTGGAACTAAGGGGCCTAGCCCAAACAATGAACAACAACCCCAGACCATTATTCCTCCTCCACCAAATTTTACAATTGGAACTATGCATGCAGGCAGGTAGCCTTCTTCTGGCACAATTCCACTGCTCCAGAGTCCAATGGTGGCGAGCTTTACACCACTCCAGCCAAACACTTGTTTGCCAATGTTAGTCTATGGAGATTGCATGGCGGTGTGCTCGATTTTATACACCTTTCAGCAACGGTGTGGCTGAAATAGCCGATCCACTAATTTGTAGGGGTGTCCACATACTTTTGTACATATAGTGTATCATGGTTGGAAGGGGTGTGGATACTGTTCATGGAAAAGCAACCCTGTTATCATCTCAACGTACACTGCAGTATACACATTTACACAACACATATGACAATATACCAAGATGGAGGCCAATAAAGAGTACAAGCCCATAGAATACACACTGACAGAGACTGGCTGTGAGTTACGACCAGGTCATACGGATGGTAATTAAAGACAGAGTGACAAGGTGGTGTGGAGCGGTGGCCATGCAGTCACAAACCCCTCCTGTCTGTCTCCGACTCCCCGCCTCAGTGATGGGTCAACAACCCATGACGATGGTAGGAGACGAGGCTCATCCAAGCTGCACAGTTATGATACCTTGTCTCTCTGACAGTGATGAACGGCCCAGCCCATTTTTACGATGTCCTCTGTGTGTTCAGTGCAGTTGAATACCTAGCTACCCCTCCCCAGTCCTGAGGTGTGTGTGTGTGAGTGTGAGTGTGAGAGAGAGAGAGAGAGAGGCATATCAGACCTCAATAGTAGAGTAAAATCACATACACTGAGGGAAAAAAGTATTTGATCCCCTGCTGATTTTGTACGTTTGCCCACTGACAAAGGCATGATCAGTCTATAATTTTAATGGTTGGTTTATTTGAATAGTGAGAGAGAATAACAACAAAAAAATCCAGAAAAAACACATGTCAAAAATGTTATAAATTGATTAGCATTTTAAATGAGGGAAATAAGTATTTGACCCCCTCTCAAACAGAAAGATTTCTGGCTCCCAGGTGTCTTTTATACAGGTAACGAGCTGAGATTAGGAGCACACTCTTAAAGGGAGTGCTCGTAATCTCAGCTTGTTACCTGTATAAAAAGACACCTGTCCACAGAAGCAATCAATCAATCAATCAGATTCCAAACTCTCCACCATGGCCAAGACCAAAGACCTCTCCAAGGATGTCAGGGACAAGATTGTAGACCTACACAAGGCTGGAATGGGCTACAAGACCATCGCCAAGCAGCTTGGTGAGAAGGTGACAACAGTTGGTGCGATTATTTGCAAATGGAAGAAACAAAAAACTGTCAATCTCCCTCGGCCTGGGGCTCCATGCAAGATCTCACCTCATGGAGTTGCAATGATCATGAGAACGGTGAGGAATCAGCCCAGAACTACATGGGAGGATCTTGTCAATGATCTCAAGGCAGCTGGGACCATAGTCACCAACAAAACACTTGGTAACACACTACGCCGTGAAGGACTGAAATCCTGCAGTGCCCGCAAGGTCCCCCTCCTCAAGAAAGCACATATACAGGGCTGTCTGAAGTTTGCCATTGAACATCTGAATGATTCAGAGGAGAACTGGGTGAAAGTGTTGTGGTCAGATGAGACCAAAATCGAGCTCTTTGGCATCAACTCAACTCGCCGTGTTTGGAGGAGGAGGAATGCTGCCTATGACCCCAAGAACACCATCCCCACCGTCAAACATGGAGGTAAGGGGACAGGACAACTTCACCGCATCAAAGGGACGATGGACGGGGCCATGTACCGTCAAATCTTGGGTGAGAACCTCCTTCCCTCAGCCAGGGCATTGAAAATGGGTCGTGGATGGGTTTTGCCACCAAGTACTAAGTCATGTTTTGCAGAGGGGTCAAATACTTATTTCCCTCATTAAAATGCAAATCAATTTATAACATTATTGACATGGGTTGTTCTGGATTTTGTTGTTGTTATTCTGTCTCTCACTGTTAAAATAAACCTACCATTAAAATTATAGACTGATCATTTCTTTGTCAGTGGTTAAATGTACAAAATCAGCAGGGGATCAAAAACTTTTTTTTCCCTCACTGTATATATACACACACAGTACCAGTCAAAAGTTTGGACACCTATTCATTCAAGGGTTTTTCTTTATTTGTACTTTTTTCTACACTGTAGAATAATAGTGAAGACATCAAAACTATGAAATAACACATATGGAATAATTCTTCAAAGTAGCCACCCTTTGCCTTGATGACAGCTTTGCACACACTTGGCATTCTCTCAACCAGCTTCACCTGGAATGCTTTTCCAACAGTCTTGAAGGAGTTCCCACATATGCTGAGCACTTGTTGGCTGCTTTTCCTTCACTCTGCGGTCTGCGGTCCAACTCATTCCAAACCATCTAAATTGGGTTGAGGTCGGGTGATTGTGGAGGCCAGGTCATCTGATGCAGCACTCCATCACTCTCCTTCTTGGTCAAATGCCCTTTCACAGCCTAGAGGTGTTTTGGTCATTGTCCTGTTGAAAAACAAATGATATCCCATCTGGTTTGCGCTTAGTGGGACTGACGTATTGCTGCAGAATGCTGTGGTAGCCATGCTGGTTAAGGTATCTCAAATAGGGGGGAGCGAGGCTTAAGAGCAGGGGCGGTGTGTTCAATAGGGCGATATGGGCGACGCACTGCCAAACGGGAAAAGGAAGGGATTTTTTTTCTAATCAATTATATCACGGCAACAGTAGTTATCAGTGTTGTAATCTAGACGTCTGATCTGCCACAGTGCCACTAAATGTCCAATCAGGCTAAAGTCGTGCTTCAAATGCCCCCCCCCCCCTTTTGGGGCGATTTCAGTCAGGTTGAAAATCGCCCAGAAGTCTGTCATAGACTCCCATGTAAAATCTATTTTTTTTCAAATATCAGAGCTTTCAATACAATCTCTATGGGTTTCTGAGGGCTTGCACTTACGCGCTTTCGTCATACGTAACATATAACCATGAACGTAACTAAGAAAAGAGCGGGTAGCAGCGTCAATCAATTCACTACTTCTATCAAAATGGCTAGGCTTCAGTGCAACTCGATTGTGTCTTTGAAAGAAGTTCCTTTTTGTCGGCGAACAAATGAAGATAAATTGGCAACGAAACAATTAGGACCTCCCAGACCAAATTTAATAATTCAACAGGTTTCTACTAAAGGGGGGAAGTCCTACACCCGAGGATTTTCCAAAAATTGGTACGAACGAAAAACCTGGCTAGCAGGCTGCGATGTAGCTAATGCAGTCTTCTGCTACCCCCTGCTTACTCTTTCACCCTGAAGGCGGCACGGCAGACAGCACCGCTTGGACAGCGACTGGTGTGTAACGGACATGCACCATCTTTCAGGAAAGATTAAGAAACATGAGCTGTCAAAGACCCACATGGATAGCTGTTTGAGATTGTCTGCTTTGGGGAGAGTGAACATTCCCACTCAACTGGATGAGGGATATAGGCTAGCTGTCCGCCGCCACAACGATGAGGTTAGTGTTGATAATCACAAGTTTACTGGAGAACTGAAACTGACAAGGCTGACAAGATAGGACCCTTTTGTCCATTGTTATTGGATAGGAACATAACTTATAACCAGCTCCTGACCTAAATAGATCTTAGCACAACATTTTACTCAACATATCATATTCCATATTCACTATAACAAATATATTTACTACGACATTAGCAAGAACCGCCACATCCTCAGCCGGCTAATCCAGTGTGTGAAGTTTTGCGGAGTGTTTGAGTTAGCTTTGCGAGGCAAAGATGAAACTGAGGGCTCCACCAACCCTGGTAAGCCAACACTTTTGAGATCAGTCAATAAATGCTTCTGGTATTGACTTATATGCTGCCCCTGTCTTCATGTTGTTGCTGGACATATCTTTTTTAAAATGTGTGTAGGTCACCTAAATCATCAGAAAAATTGCCCCCCCTGAGAATTTTTTCAGGAGCCGCCACTGCTTAAGAGGGTTTTATAAATAAACATCAACCAGAGGGTCTTGTGCCGGGTATACAGAGATGATTTGTCCTATAAGGACCATTGGTGGCAAATCTGATGGCCGAATAGTAAAGGACATCTAGTCGCTCTCGAGCAGCCTTACCTGCCGATCTATAAATTACATCTCCGTAATCTAGCATGGGTAGGATGGTCATCTGAATCAGGGTTAGTTTGGCAGCTGGGGTGAAAGAGGAGCGATTACGATAGAGGAAACCAAGTCTAGATTGAACCTTAGCCTGCAGCTTGGATATGTGCTGAGAGAAGGACAGTGTACCGTCTAGCCATACTCCCAAGTACTTGTGTGAGGTGACTACCTCAAGTTCTAAACCAGGGGTTCTTAAACTTTTTCAGCCTGGGACCCAAATGAGAAATTCTGTGGTTTCCTGGTACCCAAGTTTATGAAAACAAATAACAATGAAATATCCATGTAAATAGAATAATTTTCATTCTGAACTGGAATAAACTGTTCGATCACATCACACAAATGTATAACAGAACACACACACACAGGCTCAGTTTTTGATAGGGTTGCACTAAGTAACAGTACAGATGAAACATGATCAGGCCTACTGTACATCTTACTGTAGAATTTATTGTTGAAATAAAAGTATATTTTGGAACTGCTGTTAAAATACAAATCATTTTTATTCTGAACTGGAATAAACTGATTGATCACATCACACAGATGTAGACCAGAAAGAACAAACACACACACACACAAACACACACAGTCCTAATGAGAGGTGTGTGGCTGGTTGAATTTTTCAACAAGAAGGTCTATTCTGGCCTCAGTTTTTGACAGTGCAACCCTGAGGTCATGCTCAGCATTGAGTCTGTTTCAACAATTGTTGATTCCTTGCCCTGGAGGCTTGTGTTCAGCTCACTGAGCTTTCTGAAAATGTCAACCAGGTAAGCCAGCCTAGCCAGCCACAGTTTGTCACAGAAGAGGTCTGCAAGGTCGCTGTCCTCTTTCTCCAGATAGGCCAAAACCTCTCTGTTCCCACAGCCTCTCCCAGACCCTCCCCCTGGACAACCACCTAACCTCACAATGAAAGAGCAGGTGCTCATGGTCTGCTCCCATCTTACAAAACTCTCTCAACAGCCTTGTTTGAAGAGGTCTCTTCTTGATCAGATTCAGCACCTTTACGACTGAGTTGAAAACAGCCCCTAGGTTAGGTTGTAATGCTTTGCTGGCCAAAGACTCCTTGTGCAGAATAAAATGGGTCAGCTTCACGTTGGGCACCACTCTGCAGACATGAGCTATTAATCCAGAGTTGCACCCAGTCATGCATCTTGTACCATCAGTGCAAATCCCAACACAATTTGGCAAGTCATTTTGTAAATCTTTCAAATTAGTGTCTACCACCCTGAAAATGTTCTCTCCCCTTGTTGTTTGTAAATGGTCACAGAAAAAAATTCCTCTTGGATATCATCATCATCAAATGCGTATCTTGCATATACCATGAACTGCGGAATTCCAGCCACATCTACTGACTCATCAAATTGAAGCGAGAATTTCTTGTGCCGTTTCATCTTTTCTATCACAGATGCTTGTATGTCAACTGACATATCTCTTATTCTTTTGCCCACTGTGTCATTGGAAAGTGGGACTGAGTTCACATTTTTTGCTGCCTCCTCACCCAAAAGAGAAACACAGACATCCCTCAGGCAGGGTTTGATGAGCTCCCCTCCTATACTGTGGGGATTCTTTGCCTTGGCAATATTTATACCTGGTATGAAGCTTTGAGGATAGTTCTGTTCCCTTCAAATGCCTGTAAGAGGGGCAGAGAAAGCCTTTTGTCAAAAGCCACCTACTGAGTTATCATGTTAAAATAAACATTCTAAATATGACCTACTCTTGATTTATCTTATCAGCTGTGTGTGTGTGTGTGTGTGTGTGTCTGTCTGTCTGTTCTACATCTGTGTGATGTGTTAAATCATTTTTATCCCAGTTCCGAATAAAAATGATTATTATTTTAACAGCAACAGTTCCAACCTATAATTATTTTCAACAATAATTTATACAGTAAGATGTACAGTAGGCCTGATCATTTTTCATCTTCATCTGTACTGTTACTTAAGGTTGCACTATCAGTAGTTAGCTAGCTAACTTGCTTTGGCTAACGTTAGCTAGCTAGCTAATAGCTGTGTACAAGGGGATTGTTTGAAAGATAAATCACATCTACTACTATGAGAGATAGTATTCTCTTATTTCTGCTTACCATCACCTGTTTTAAAATGACAACAATGCCTTGCTAGCTGACTTACTCTTCCACTGTCAAAGCACTATTTCCTGAAGCATTCTGCCCTGTTCTGAAAGACCTCCTTGGGTTTACCGTCATGCTGTGGATGTCTGGTCAGGATGTGTCGTATTCTTTTGTTAGTTTTAAGCACTTCCACGGACAAAACACATTGCGCTCCTCGTTATTTCTCAAAGTTTGTATGAAACCAAGAGAGAGAAACTCTGTATTTGCGTTTCATGACGATTGAGCTCAGAACTTGTGGCTAGCTTTAGTCCATTCGATGTCAGCGGTGAGTGATGGCGATTGGGAATGACAAATCAGAGGCTGACAGCGCATCAGCTGCTGCTGAACGACAGCGTTGCTGAGTGTAGGTCGCGGAGTGATCTTCAAGAAAACTGCAGAAAAAAGATAAACGGCGAAGCACACCGGCATCTCCCTCCAACTTGCGTAGCTGCCAAACTGAGCAGAGACACCGCTGCTAAGAAGAGAGCGCACTAAACAGAGAACGCAATTGCACTTGGCCAAATCAATCCCAGTAATTAATGAAATAATTATACATTTACTCTAACACGTCACGACCCACCATTAACAGGTCCGACCCATACTTTAAGAAAGGGTGCTCTAAACCCTCAGAGGTAGTAATCACCCGGTGGGGGGTGGAATTATTTTTTACCCCAACCACATTACCTTTGTTTTGTAGTTGTTCAGAACAATGTTAAGGGAAGAGAAAGCTTGTTGGACATGAAGACAGCTTTGTTGTAGAGCGTTTAACATAAAATCCAGCTGAGTATAAGACTGTATCATCTGCATATAAATGTTGATGTAAATTGAGAAGAGTGTGGGGCCTCGGATCGAGCCTTTGGGTACTCCCTTGGTGACAGGCAGTGGCTGAGACAGCAGATGTTCTGACTTTACACACTGCACTCTTAGAGAGAGGAGGTTAGCAAACCAGGGCAAAGACCCCTCAGAGACACCAATACTCCTTAGCCTACCCACAAGAATGGAATGGTCTACCGTATCAAAAGCTTTGGCCAAGTCAATAAAAATAACAACACAACATTGCTTAGAATCAAGGGCAATGGTGATATCATTTAGGACCTTTAAGGTTGCAGTGACACATCAATAACCTGAGCGGAAACCAGATTGCATACCAGAGAGAATACTATAGACATCAAGAAAGCCAGTCAGTTGATTATTGACAAGTTTTTCCAACACTTTTGATAAACAGGGCAAGAAATTGGCTTATAACAGTTAGGATCAGCTTCATCTCCCCCTTTAAATAAAGGACACACCGTGGCTGCCTTCCAAGCACTTGGAACCTCCCCAGAGAAGAGAGACAGGTTAAAAAGGTGAGAGATAGGCTTGGCGACGATAGGGGCTGCAACATTATAGAAGAAAGGATCTTAACCATCTGACCCAGATGTTTTTTTGGGGTCAAGTTTAAGGAGCTCCTTTAGCACTTCAGACTCAGTGACTGCCTGCAGGGAGAAACTGTGTAGCAGGGCAGGGGAAAAAGAGGGAGGAGCATCAGGGCTAGACGCATTAGAAGGGCTGGGAGCTGAGGAAGTGTTGGACGGGCATATATAACTCAGCCTGCTGTTCCGTATTACATGACAGACTGCCAAGTGACCATAATTCCACTAGGGGGACAGACAGTGAGGATCCATTCAGCCGTCACCTTGAGCCGGGTCAGCCGATGAGATGACTTGGATTCATGCACACACAACACAAAAAAACAAATAATTTCTGATTGTTATTCCTTCATATTTACAGACTGACTTCAGACAGCCTTTTTTTATGTTTCTGTAAACTCAGTGGTCAGTCTCCAGAGATCATGGAACATGTTTGTTTCTGGTAAAAGGGCTTCTTCAGCTTACCACTCCCTGGAAGCAACTGGTATTTTATCTGGGCAGGGAAAAGTTTTAACTTACTCTGAGTCTGTTACAGAGAATAAAGTCCTGCATGAGAAGAAAGTCTACCTCAACCTTTGATTTATCCATTTATAAGGCACACTAAAACAAAATGCTAACAGTTTACTACCTACTTATAAACCCATTAAAACACACAGTATAAGCCATATCTCTGTAAGGTCAAGAAAGAGCTTGAATAATTAAATATATGTTTGTTAAATATAGTGTAGAAAGTGCCAATATGACAACCCAATAATACCCATTATATTTAGTATCAGTGGTAAAAGTCAAGTGACCACCATGCATTTCAAAGATACACTATATATACAAAAGTATGTGGACACAAATTAGTGGATTCGGCTATTTCAGCCACACCCGTTGCTGACAGGTGTATTAAATCGAGCACACAGCCGTGCAATCTTCATAGACAAACATTGGCAGTAGAATGGCCTTACTGAAGAGCTCAGTTACTTTCAATGTGGCACCATCATAGGATGCCACATTTACATTTACATTTACATAATTTAGCAGACACTATTATCCACAACGACTTACAAATTGGTGCATTCAACTTATGATTCTTTTTTATTTTTTTTATTCCAGGTATTCCTTAAAGAGGTAGGGTTTCAAGTGTCTCCGGAAGGTGGTCAGTGACTCCGCTGTCCTGGTGTCGTGGGGGAGCTTGTTCCACCATTGGGGTGCCAGAGCAGCGAATAGCTTTGACTGGGCTGAGCGGGAACTGTGCTTCCGTACAGGTAGGGGAGCTAGCAGGCCAGAGGTGGATGAACGTAGTGCCCTCAATTGGGTGTAGGGTCTGATCAGAGCCTGAAGGTAAGGAGGTGCCGTTCCCCTAACAGCTCCGTAGGCAAGCACCATGGTCTTGTAGTAGATGCGAGCCTCAACTGGAAGCCAGTGGAGTGTGCGGAGGAGCGGGGTGACATGAGAGAACTTGGGAAGGTTGAACACCAGACGGGCTGCAGCGTTCTGGATAAGTTGTTGGGGTTTAATGGCACAGGCAGGGAGCCCAGCCAACAGCGAGTTGCAGTAATCCAGACGGGAGATGACAAGTGCCTGGATTAGGACCTGTGCCGCTTTCTGTGTAAAGTAGGGTCGTACTCTGCAAATGTTGTAGAGCATGAACCTGCAGGATCGGGTCACCGCTTTGATGTTAGCGGAGAACGACAGGTTGTTGTCCAGGGTCACGCCAAGGTTCTTTGCACTCTGGGAGGAGGACACAATGGAGTTGTCAACCGTGATGGCGAGATCATGGAGCGGGCAGTCCTTCCCCGGGAGGAAGAGCAGCTCCGTCTTGCCGAGGTTCAGCTTGAGGTGGTGATCCGACATCTACACTGATATGTCTGCCAGACATGCAGAGATGCGATTCGCCACCTGGTTATCAGAAGGGGGAAAGGAGAAAATGAATTGTGTGCCGTCTGCGTAGCAATGATAGGAGAGACCATGTGAGGATATGACAGAGCCAAGTGACTTGGTGTATAGAGAGAATAGGAGAGGGCCTAGAACTGAGCCCTGGGGGACACCAGTGGTGAGAACACGTGGTGCGAAGACAGATTCTCGCCACGCCACCTGGTAGGAGCGACCTGTCAGGTAGGATGCAATCCAAGAGTGAGCAGCGCCGGAGATGCCCAACTCGGAGAGGGTGGAGAGGAGGATCTGATGGGTCACAGTATCAAAGGCAGCGGATAGGTCTAGAAGGATAAGAGCAGAGGAGAGAGAGTTAGCTTTAGCAGTACGGAGAGCCTCCGTGACACAGAGAAGAGCAGTCTTAGTTGAATGACCAGTCTTGAAACCTGACTGGTTTGAATCAAGAAGGTAATTCTGAGAGAGATAGCAGGAGAGTTGGCTAGAGATGGCACGCTCAAGAGTTTTGGAGAGAAAAGAAAGAAGGGATACTGGTCTGTAGTTGTTGACATCGGAGGGATCGAGTGTAGGTTTTTTGAGGAGGGGTGCAACTCTCGCTCTCTTGAAGACAGAAGGGACATGGCCAGCGGTCAAGGATGAGTTGATGAGCGAGGTGAGGTAAGGGAGAAGGTCTCCGGAAATGGTCTGGAGAAGAAAGGAGGGGATAGGGTCAAGCGGGCAGGTTGTTGGGCGGCCGGCCGTCACAAGTCGCAATA